TTAAGCCTCAGGGAGACAACGGTATGGCTCCACCCGGCCACCCAGGGAGGGCCCTCTTGGTGCAGTAGTTCGGCAGCAGGCTAGAAACCCGGGACCCTGAGCCCTCCCTCTCAGCCCTGGGGAGGAGGCGGCTGGGCAAAGGGACGGAGGGGACTGCCCTCTGCCAGGCAGCTCTTCCTTCTGGCTTTGGCACTTCCCAGAGGACGCGCTGAGCTGGTTCCCCCAGGCGGGTCAGGAGCAGGCTGGAGGAACGGGGGCTGTGGCTGAGGGTGACAGGAAGAGGAGCTCGAAGACCCCCCGGGGGAGTTCCTTTGGGTCCATGTAAACCACCTTCTAGCACGCTGAAGGAGGAGACCAGCTGTTCTCTTTGAGAAAGCCTGCAGTGGATGGTGGGAGATGGGTGGCACAAAGTGGAGGTGGGCATTCCACCCGGAAGTGAGAGTCGGCGGCCCTTTTACCTATCCCATGTCACGCGATAGCCTGGAGGCACCTGACTCCCCAGAAGGGAAGGAAATCACGGGACCATCAAACTCTCTTCAGCCAGACCTCCCTAGGTGCCCCTTGTGCTTTCTTCCTCCCCCTCCCACTTTTTAAAGAAGATGGTCTTTTAAGTTATGGTTTTAATTTCTGCATAGAAATATATGGTGAACCACCTGGAAGGTAAGTTCACCATATATTCCTATGCAGTAAGTTAGTAAGATGATCTCCCCCCCCCCCACTTGTCCTTTGCAATGCTTGTAGGTGTGTCCATCAATTTATTCTATGAGGGGTACATACAGAGTACAGGTAGTCCTCATTTAGTGACTGTGTCAGCTCTACAATGTTCAAGCCCCAATACAGACAAATCTTTTGAAATCCAAAGCAGATTCCAAAAAGACTTCATTTATTGGAGGATACGTGCAGCTCTAAGCCAAGCGTTGCTAGAACTAAAGCCCACGTAATTTTCCCTCTACCTTTACCCCCCCGCCCCCCGTTCAGTCCAGGCGGCACTTTTGGTTCTCCCGGAGGTGTGGCCTTGTGCATTCCTAGTCCCGATAGTGCGTCTTCGTCCTGGCCTTCAATCTTCCTCTGGCTCTGTCCGCTTTCACTCCGCCCCCCCACCAGTGAGAATGGCAGAATCAAAGCAAGCTAAGAAAACATTCCCTAAAATCAAAGTATACAGATGGCATTTGCTATACCAACAAAGCAGTCCTCTAGTTGATATATATCTTGATTGCTGCAGATTCTGACAGACTGCCTTGTTTAGTGACCATTTGCAGTTATGACAGTGATAAAAAGGTAACTTGACCAATCCTCACAGTTATGACCTCCACAGGTCTGTAAAGCAAAGGAAGGCTGAAGTCAGATCATCAGCACAGTTGCGGTTCCCCTTAGCAACCGCTTCACTTAACGACCACCTTGCCAGTCCCAATTGGGGTTGCTAAATGAGGACTATCTGCAAGGCTGTGTTTTCTGTAATCAGAGAGGACAGAAGATAGAAAAATGGGTTCAAGTCCTAGGAAGGCAAATTTCAGCTGTACGTAAGGGAAACCTCTAATAGTACCTATGGTGTGATAACTGTGATGGGTTCCCATTCACTGGAAGTGTTCAGTCAGAGGCTGCAGAGCTACCTGTTAGGGATCCCTGCCCCTGATTCCTTAATTGTGCAGAAAGTGAACATGATGTCCTCAAGGAACCTCCTGGTTCCAGAATTCTGTGATTCTGTCTGCATAGGTATCCATGATGTTGGGGGGGCGGGGGGACAGGGGACTAATAAAACATGTATTGTGATGTTGCAACACAACCCATATGGTTTACGAATATGGAAGCCTGAGGTTTGCGTTGTGATATCACCATACACAATTTGTCATTTTTGTGCTAGGGTTAGCCCTGATCAAAGAAGCTGACCTTATATTCCTTCCCCGAGTTTTTTAAAATATTCTTTAACTCCTTCAAAAAGAGTCCTGGAGGTAATTTGCTGATCATCTGCATTTCAAGGCAAAAATCTTTCTGAACCTGAACAAATTTCATTTGTATATCCAATAAGTTTATCCTTTTGTTAGTCACTTCTAATACAGTCCTTCAAAGCCTTAACGGAGCTCTTTTGAGTATCCAATTAAAAATAATTATCCAAATCCATTTCCTGGTTTAATATCTGTGCAACTCCTTTAGGGAATCAGTCACCTAGCGGATCCATTTGTGTTACATTTAAGTCCCCCTTCAAGTCCCCCTTCAAGCAATTTGTTCTTGCTCTGTATCTTCATTACAACATGCTCTGTCCAACTTGGCCATCAATTGATCCATTCTAAGAAGTTTAGTAGAAAAGTATTCAAAAAGATGCAGGATAGATTTCTGCTTCAGTTTCTTTATCTGCTCCATATTCTTTATCTTCCAGCTTCCTCTAGTGTCCAACCTTCAAGGTCTCCTTATCTTAAAGAGCCAAAGCAATCGCCATTTTCCTGTGAGAAATTATTTCCTCATTAATTCAAAGCTATAATGCCAAATCCCTCTGGCCCCTCAATCAGTTGTTAACTTTCCAAAATCCGTAGACTAAGCACCGTTTTGCTGCATAGTCCAAAAAAACATATATTTTCGAAGCTTTCAAAATCAAGTTTAAACCTTCATTCTCTAAGGAGGAGGAGACTCACCCGACAAATACAGTAAAACCTTGCTGATCTGAAGAATCTCTCCAGTAAACAAAAAGAAATAATAATCCAAAAAAGGTGATTAAAAAATGAGGGCCAAGCTTTAAGTCTGTAAAAGGCTGCTTTGCGAGTGTGAGCTTGATGAAGTCCCGACTCCCAGCCACTCTGCTCATAAACTGGCTGCAAAATGGCAGTTTCCGTGTTTCCTCACAAGTAGTGGCTGTGAGGGGTCATGTGGGTAATCTCAGATTTCGCCAGTCCGGATCCAGCATCCAGCCGCGACTCTGCTTGCAAACGCTGTCCTGCCACAGACAGGAGGTCAGCTCGCCGTGGCTCCCACAGGAAGCGTCTCTGAAGCTGTTCCTAAGAGACCTTCCCTGCCCTGCTAATAAAGCTGTGATTTCTGCAGTTCCCTCCCTCACTTTCAAACAAGTTTATACAGGTAATCCTCATTTAACCTAAGTACCCCTTGTTCAGTGACCATTTGACATCATGATGGCACTAAACAAGGGGTACTTACGACGGATCCTCATATTTGCAGCCGTCGCAGCTTCCCGCAGTCATGTGATTGCGATTTGGGCGCTCGGCAACTGACTCACATTTAGGACATTACAGCATATCGTGGTCATGTGATCGCCATTAGTGATTTTCACAGCTGATTTCTGACAGTCAATGGGGAAGCGGGCAGGAAGTCACAAATGGCGATCACATGATCACGGGATGCTGTGACCACGCAGGATTCACCTAACAACAGCAACTGGGACTGCCAGAACTGCCGTCGTAAGTTGGCGTGGTCTAGTGACATCGTGCATTACCATGTCCCTTAGCGATGGAGTTCCCGGTCCCAGTTACCAACTGGTAATACAGGACTACCTGTAAAGGGTACCTTTTTCTGAGTTGGCCCGATGGGCCCTTTAGAGGTCTGTGGCCTCCAGAGTTGATGGCCTGCTTCCCATCTACCACGGTTCCCCTCAGTCCTTGGCCCAGCATTCCTCTTCTCCTGCCCTTCCCCCCATGCACAGCAGTTGCCAGTGTACTTCTGGGTGCAATTCAAGGTGCTGGTGACCACCTCCATAGCCCTACCCAGCGCAGGGCCAGGTTATTTGAGGGACTGCCTATCCCCCATGGTTTCTGCCTGGCCAGCACTAGTCAACAGAGTGGGGACACTCTCGGTCCCTTTGATTAAAGGCTCTCCTTTTTCGGGATGCAGGAAGGGTGTCTTCTCTGTTGCACCACCTACCCTCTGGAGATCCACACGGCGCCCACGCTGATGACGTTCCAGAGGACCTTGAAGACCTGGCTGTTCTCCCAGGCCTTGGGCCCGGTGGGTGGGTGGGTGGAGCCTCTTGTTGGCTGAGTTTTGTACATTCTCCTGGGCTGTTTGGCTGGATTTCCCATCTTTACTTATTAATTTATTTATAACCGCCCATCTCACATGGGTGACCCTGAGTGATGTACAAGGGTTAAAAACACACAGACCCTCCCCCAACAACATATAACCCCTGGCCCCCGGGGATAAACAATAACCCCACTCACCAAATAAATAAATAAATCAAGCAAGCATAAACAGCAGAGCTCACTTAACCACCTGACCCAAATGCCTGGGGAAACAGCTGGGTCTTCAGTGCCTGCGAAAGGCTACCAGGGTCGGGGCCATCTGAATCTCCAGGGGAATGGGGCTCCATAAGGCTGCCGCTGCCGCTGAGAAGGCCCGACTGCTGGGTTTCTGACAAGGGGGCACTGCTTGATGGAAAGGGCCTGGAGCATACCCTGTCTATTAGATCTGGTGGGGCAGGCAGAAACGAAGGGAGAAAGGTTGTCCCACAAGGAGCCTGACCCTATGTCGTGTAGGGCTTTAGAGGTGATAGCCAGCACCTTAAATTGCACCTGGGAGCCAGTGCAGCTAATGGAGCAGTGGTGTTATAGAGGCATAACGAGAAACTGCCCCCGCCATTCCATTTTGTAGGTTCTGAGTACTCTTCGGGGGCAGCCTCATGTGGATTGTATGACAGTAATCTAAACAGGAGATGACTAAGGCACAAGACACCGTGAGCGAGGCCTCCCAGTCCAGGAATGGGCCCAATTAATGCACGAGATGAACCTGTGCCAAAGCTCCCTTGGCCACATTTGCCATCTGCTCTTCAAGCAGGAGCCAAGAGTACAGGAGGACCCCCAGACTGCACACTGACTGGGGAAGTGATCCCCATACAGAGTTAAAGATGGAAGATCCCCAGAACCCCAGAACAGAAGCCTGTCCTCCCCCATCCAGACTCTCACACCCTCCAGGCCCCGGGAAGGGACCTAAATAACACGGGCTGGTCAACCTGCAGAGGAGATGCACAGCTGGGTATCATCAGCATACGGATATCTCGCCCCATGCTGACAGATGACCTCGCCCAGCAGCTTCATGTCACCGTTAAATGGGATCAGGGGAGTTCTAACGCTGACTGGAACCGGCCCTGGAGAAGGGAGGAGGACCACTGCGCCGCAATGCCTCGTGCCCAGACTCCTGAGCTGGCCCAGAAGGGTTCCATGGGTGATAGTATTGAGAAGTGAGAGATCCAAGAGGGCCGGGATGGAGGCACTACCCCCTCCCAAGAAGACGCTGACAAGCACAATTGATGCTGCGTCAGTACTGCAACCAGGCCAGATCCTTGTCCAGATCTGTTGGGTCCAGCGATGGTCTCTTAAGGGAGGGGTAGATAACTGCATCCTTCAAGGCAGATGGAACCTCCCCCTCCTGCAGAGTCATATTGGCCACTGCAAAGGCCCAACTGTCTGCCGCCTCGAGGGAGACCTTAATCAACGTGGAGGGACAGAGATCTAAAACAGAGGTGGCCGAGCTCATCGCTCCGAGTCCCCTGTCCATTTCATCGGGGCCAGAAGGCTCAAACTTTTCCCAGATAACCTGGCAGCGGAGCACGCCTCAGGCAACTCCACTGGACCCGCACTGCTGAATTGCAATTCCAAGTGAATCTAAGTGACTTTATCTGACAGTGGCCTTGCAAGAGTTCCCTTGGCCCCTCCTTGCCCTGGGGGGGACCAGGTCACCTTAAGCAGGGCCACTGGTTGGCTCTCTGTGGACGCAACAAGGGCGGCAAAATAACTAGGCTTCAGTACCTGCGCTAGGTCATGTTCACTCTTTGTTTTATTTCAGCAGCATTCTAGGTGTCCCTAATGCCATTTCATCACCTGGAGCTCCTCTGAAAAACAGGGGACCCCCTGGGATCCAGAAGCCTAAAGTGGCCACACAGATGCAATCTACAGATGCAGTCTAATCCGAGGCCAAGGTCACCCTCTCATTCCAAGTGGCAACCTGAGCCTCAGTTGATCAGCCGTGCATCGGAGCCCCAGGAACAACACTGAGCTCCCTCTGGAACTCAGTAGGAGACATCAGGGGCCTGGAGCGGACCGTTTCAATAGGTCCTGCTTCCCTGTGGGGAGGTGTGACCCCAGAGGACTCCAGAGCCAGCAGGAAATGATCTGTTCATGGCAAGGGACTGGTGATAATACCCCCCAACGCCGGAGCATGTTGCCCCAAGATAAATACCAGGTCTAATGTGTGGTCTCCTCTGTGAGTTGAGTCAGGTCCATGGTTGCCATAGTAGCCATGATTGCCACGGTGGCCATGAACTCTCAAGCCGTCTCTGCCTAAGGACAGCAGGTTGAAGTCCCCCAGAACCATAAGTCTGGGGAACCCCACCGCCAACCCAGCCACAGATTCTTAACAGCTCCAGCAGGGGTGTTGCTGTGCAGCAGGGAGGCTGGTACACAAGTAAGAAATAGTTCCTTCTGATCCCTACAGCCCAATTTCACACCTGGCGATCTGCACAGTAGTTCCTTGGAAAGCCACTAAGGTTTCCTGGGTGACAGTTGGCACATTGACACATTGACACATTGTTCATTGATAATTGTATATTGCATTTTTAAATCTTGTTTTGTAATATTGTGAACTACCCAGAGTCAATCTGGAGTCAGGCAGCACCAAAATCAAATCAAATCAATCAATCAATCAATCAATCAATCAATCAATCTTCCCCAGCCCATTGGCAATGGCCAGGGAGAACTAGAGGGTGGTTGATGGCCTGTCAAAATGATTGGGGATTCTGGTCTTTTCAGATTCCAAGACTGCTACCTTTGAACGTATTGTGGGCGAGATCGCCTTCCAGCTGGACCGCAGGATCCTCTCCAGCATCTTCCCTGACCGAGTCCGCCTCTATGGCTTCACCGTCGGCAACATCCCCGAAAAAATAATGCAGGTGAGAGGACTGCTATTGTGAGCGGGACTGGTGCTTAGCCTCTCTGCCTTTTGAGGGGCCACAGCAGATATCCACATCTCATGAGATGTGTCTGAAATCTCACTTAGCAGTCAGCATTAAGCTCATACCATTCCAAGGCTACTTGACACCCAGGGTAGATTATAGGATTATAGGAAAGACAGGGGAAAGTTTGAGCTCACCTTTTAACAGGCAGTCCCTATCAGCTGCTGGCTACTTCAGGTGGGGAGAGAGCCAGAAATGGTAAACTGGCAAGGAACATCAAAGTAAACAAAAGTGGTAGAGTAGCTGGCGCAGACACTGCTGATGCCTGGTGATCATGTTTGAATAATGCAGGATTCCCAGGACATCGGGCCCCGCAGAGAACTTTGAGATTGGTTAGGATCGGGTTGCACCTAAATGCCATTCAGTTTTAGGATTTCAGTGGCTGTGAAGTTAGTGGTTACTGCCATTAGCATGAATAGTTTTATGAGGGATGAGTAATGTGCAATGAGGGAATTTCAAATCACCTCCTCAGTGCCTTGGATAACCTTCCAAGTATCTTGCAGGTGATTCCTCAACCCTGTTGAGAAGAACTCTGAGTCACAAGAAAATCAGTCTGAGATGTCAGTACTGCAATGGCATGTGGGAATGACCTTGGGAGACAGGAGGAAGAGCCGCAGCTCTTATGGTCTGATAAATGAAATTTGACTTCGAAGGAGCAGTGGGGGGTGAAAGCATCTCAGAAGGGACCCTCCCTAGTTTTGGGGAGAGTAAAAGTGAGGGACGGGAGGGGTACTTTTAGACTTGCAAGATTGATGTTAGCCCTTCGAGGTAGTCCAGACAAGAAGTACAACCAGGAGTACTAGCTCTCTCTTTATTGTAAGGTTACATTAACAGAATCTTGCAAATCTGAAAGTACCCCTCCCATCCCTCACTTATACTTTTCCCAAAACTAGGGAGGGTCCCTTCAGAGATGCTTCCGTCACTCCTCCTCCTTCAGAGACAAATTTCATTTATCAGACTGTTGTCTAGGCTGCGGCTCTTCCTGTCTCCCGAGGTCTTTCCCACAGACCATTACAAGTTCAGGCACATCTGTCCATGCTCTGCCTGCCAGATCTCCTGCTTGCTGCCCCAAGGGGCAGAGTTGGCTCTGTAGAGCTGATCTGGAGATCCACAAAGATGAAAACAAGGCTTCTCCTTCCCCTTGAGAGACTAAAGATGTGCCTCCTTTTCCCACAGGGTGAAAGTGACACCGTCAACCCCCTGACCCAAGAGCAGCGTGCGGCGATGATGGAGCGCTACAACGAAATCATGAGCCGCTTGAAGCCGCAAAACTACAACCCCACCTTCCATCCTCAGTTCACAGAGCATATTGTGAACACTTACGGAATCCTCCGAGAGCGTCCCGATGCGTCAGGCTCTGAAGCAGAGCTCTACAACGACCTGAATTACCTGCACGAGGTGATTGTCAGTGTGGTTCCCCAAGACAAGGTAGCCGACTGCTTGATCCTGCTCAACTGCCTCCGATTGCTGTCCCAGGCTGATGGGAAGCCCCTGTTCATCTGGTGACCCCCCTGTCCCTCCCCCCCCCTTCTTGTGTTGCATCCACCACAAGCGCAATAAACCATCTGCGAAATCCAAAGTGTGTCCTCTCAGGTAGCCCTGCAAGTTCTGCCACCCACCCACCAGCCTAAGCCCAACCCCTCAGCTCCTTGCTTGCGGGGGGACCAATCTGGGCTCCTCGTTTTAGTTTTGGAAGAGGACATTCAGGAACCCTGAACGGTCACTCAGTAGACGTGATATGAACCCCAGCCAGGTCCGTGAAAGAAATAGGAGTCCCTGAGAATGGGAGGGTTTGTCGGAGGAATGCTGGCGGAGAGCTGCCATTTCCCCCCAGTTGTTATCTTTAGGGAGAAGGTTGCTGTACTATGGAAAGAGGGAAGGAGTTCTAGGACCAGCATGCCCTTTGGAAGGCTGAAATCGTTATCATTAATTAACCAAATCAATAGTGGTTACGTATTGCTGCCACTTCCCCAAATTTGGTAACAACTTAAATAGAAGGGTAGCAAAGAGTTTGCCATTCTGGTAAGAAAACATCAGTGGGCAAATTCAGCGCAGGAGGTGCCCAGCTTCCCCCACATGGGCCTTCCTAGAGGTACTAATGACTATGAAATTCAGAGCAACATTGAACGGACCCCTTCCAGCTTGCTATGGAGCCCTTCAAGTATCCTGGCTGGGTCTGATTGTTCACCCAGCTCTGTGTCCACCTAACAGTAGCACAGTGCAGTCCCCATCTTGCCATCTTCTCTGCTAGGATCTCATGGGAGACTTTGTCAAAGCCTTTGCTAAACTCAAGGTACTCTGTGTTTACCGCATTCCCGTGGTCAACTAAGCTGGCCGCTCTATCAGAGAAGAAGAAGAAGAGACTGGTTGGACAGGTTTTAGTCTTGCAAAGTTCTGAATCCTCAGAAACTGGATGCATAATTGTCTGTTTCGGTATGAGTGTCAAGCTGTCCAGTCTGCTGTTACTCGTGTCCTCTTCCCCCACCCCTTTTTGAAGATTGTAATAGTATTTGCTCCTTTCCCATCTTCGCTGGGTCCTCTGCCCATTCTCCGTGATTTCTCAGAGGGATCACTCAGATGTGATGCTCACAAGCTCTTTCAAGGCTCTCGGTTGTCACTGACCTGGTCCTGGGGCTTAAACTCATTCGAGGTAGCCAGAGGCTCCTTAACCATCCCACTGTTTACCTTGGGTTGCTGCTCTTTCCTTCTGCTATTTATGCTACTTAGCTCCTCTTTGTGGAGAAAACCAACACCAAGGAGGAGCTGAGAAGTTCTGCCATCCCTGTTCCCTGTTACCATCCTCCCACTCTCTCAGGCAGCAGGCCCACACTTTCCTTTCTGTTCCTTCACGAGTGACGTAGCCTCCAATGCTGTTTCTGTTGTTTTAAGCTTCCCTTGTGAACCCACATTTCTTTTTGCCCGTTAGACTGCCTTTCTTCCTGCAGATATTGCTACTTCACTGGGGCACCTCCCTGGGGATTCCATCCCCCTCCCACGTCCTATTCATGCCCTTTTGGGGGGTTAGTTCAGTTGAAAGCTCCCCCTGTACCCACAATGTTTTCTGAAGCTGCTTCACTTTTTTTCTTCCTGCTGGAAAGACTGTACTTCCAGTATCCTGTTTTGGAAGCTCCCAACCCTCCTGAGCTCTCATTTTTGTGGAGATTTCTGTCTATAGGATCCCGCCTAGTACTTCTCTAAGCTTGTCGAAGGTGGCTTCTCTGAAAACGAATGTGCTTGTACAATGATGCTCTGATTTCCTTTTCTCCAGTGTCCTGAACCCAACGGGGTGGGTTCCCTTCCTTCCAGAGTTCACCCTTCTTTTCCTTCTGTAGCTTTTCTCTGTTGGTTAGGTTTGGATGTTGGAGAGCCAGTCTCCTCAGCTCTTCTTCAACCCTTTGGAAGATGAGACACTCAGCAGCCCCACTGAAAACCTTTGGGGACTGCAATCTTGGCCCAGGTGGCTTTCCATTGTTACAGGCTCTTTTCTCCCTCAAAGTCCTGGAATTCCTTAGCCAGATACTCTTCCTGCCTTGGCAGTTGATAGCACCCTCCCCCATTAACATCTGTCTCAACTGGATTCTCATGCTGGGGTTTCTGGATCTCGATATGCGCATGCACTTCTGTCACGTATCGTGCCTCTCCTTCTCTGGCCTGCTTTTTTTGAACAAGTTGTGCCCTTCAATCCCTCCATTCCACTCACGAGTTTCATCAACCCAAGTTTCAGTTATGGCCACTAAATCGTATTTGCTTCCCTTTATTGAGGTTTCTACTTCTCCCTTTATGTTCTACATACTGTGTGCATTTCTGGAGGCAAAAGGGAAACTGCACCTTGGAGTGTATAACTTGATCTCTTCCTTCCTGGAATGATGTGTTCTACTTGGGTGCTTCATATTCTGCACCGCCCTCCCAGTCCTGTTCTTGGTCTTTGGCATTGCATTGTTTTCTGAGCCCTCTTTTCCCTCCCCAACAGGGAGGTCAAGGGGGAGGCAGTTGATTAAAACTGTATTATGCTGCCACAGCCCACGCTCCATCCATTTTGTACGTGCATCATGAAGTTGCATGCACATATGAGAGGGGCAGAGGCTGCACTGTGATGGTGCAACATTGCCACATTTTGCTTTTTTGATTAAGGGACTAAGGATCTATTGTACTTAGATTTCAGTAAGGTGCTTGATAAAGTTGACCGTAGCTTCCTTCTTGATAACATGGAACAATGTAGGCTGGACGGTCCCACTGCCAGAAGGATTCGCAGTTGGCTGAACAGCCACACCCAATGCATAGTCCTTTAGTGGATTTATGCCTGCTCGGAGGGAGGGTTGCAGTGAGGTACCTCAGTGCTCTCCCCTGGCCCAACCCAACTCTTTCATGATTTAGATGAGGGGAAAGCATGGATGCTCAGCAAATTTGCAGAAGACCTAGGGGCGTGGAGGCTAAATGTCATGAAGAATAGTTAAAAGAACTGGGTAAATTTAACCTAAAGAAGAGAAGGCTAAGGGGAGACATAACTCAAAATAAGGAGAAACGTCATAACCATGAGAGCCTATTAAGCAGTGGAACAGCCTGTCTCCTGGAGTCGTGGGAGCTCCATCACTGGAGGTTTTCAAGCCATTTGTCTGGGATAGTCCGAGGATTCCTCTCCTGAGCAGAGGGTTGTACTAGGAAACCTCCAGGGTTCCTCCCAACCCTACGATCCTATGGTTCACCCATTTTGATTAAAACCTCTGATCCTGCGGACACCTCCGTGCCACAGGATTCAATCTAAGCCTTCTGCCTCAGATTCGCAAGTGCCTCTCCAACAGATCACCTTCCCTTGTGAGGCGCAGCCCGTCTCTTGCCAGGAATTGCAAATCCCATGATCAAGGAATCCGCTCCATCCCCGCTGGCACCATCTGCATAGCCGTTTCCAGTACCCTTCTCTCTTCCTGGGCATGTCCTTCAACGGAAGGAGTGAAGAAATGCCACCTGCGACCCCAGCTCCTTCACCCACCTGTCCAGCATTTTGTAGTCCCTTGTCGCATCTTCAAGGCTATGCCTGGGTGCATCATTTGTTTGTCATCTGTTTGTAGGAAGGGAGATTTGCCAGGGGGCTTTAATGGTCTTGGGAATCTCTCCATCCCATCCCAGAGGTGGCACGCTTCTCTTGAGAGGCTGTCCAATCCACAGACTGCTGCTTTGCTTCCTCTCTGTGGGGAGCCCCAGTCACACCACCGATTGCTTTGGCCGTCTTCCATTTGCAGTCTCTGAGGCTTATGGCAGCTACTGTTTGCGCAGGGATTCAAAAATGGTATCAACAGGGAGGGAGGGAGTGTCATCTATCCTGCAACATCAGAAATGAGCTGTTCTGAAAATGATGGCCCTTGTCTCACCACAAGTCCTCCCTTGTCTGATCCAGGGATTCCTCACCTTCTATGCTAAGGTGGACACTGGGCAGGTTTTCCAGCACCTTCACTTCCAGGAGGCTAATCAGCCTGCATTTGGGGCGTGTAGTCCTTGTTGTTTTCTGAGAGGAAAACAAATATGGCTGGCATTTCCTTGCAGGTCACAAGAGCAGTTGTCTGTTTCCGTGTTCTTCAAATATGTTTTGTTTCTGCCTGGCAGACCAATTAAACAGGAATCTAAGGATTCAGGAACTTCTGATAAGACATTTGATTGTAGAAAAACACAGAAGCCATTATGAAAGAATTTTCAGCAATTGGCACATATGAAAATGAGCCCTCTAGACAGTGACATCTTCCACTTTTTCTGCCCCTCTTTTTGCCCATGCCATGCATTGAGCTGGTTAGCCTCTCTTGTGAGCAGCGGGGGGGGGGGGGAGCAGGGAGTTTCCATGTCTCTTGTTTTGGAAATGGCCGGTTTGTTTACCTCTGTGCAAGAACTAACTTGCATAAGAGGAATAGGAGGAGGAAAAATCTCAAGTGGAATCTGCAATTTGTCCCACAAAATGTCCACACGGAACATCTAATTGGCTGATCCTGGTTACTCACTTCCCAGATAATTTTTTGAGGGAGGAGGGTGAGGTGCCTCTTCTCCCCAACCTCCCCCGTTTCCTTCCCGAGTGAGCTCCCTCTCCAGAAAGAGGCTTCCTTGGATGGAAGGGCGGGTGGGTGCATACCCACCCCCACAAACAGAATAGATCAAAGGGCCATCACGCAGTGTTTGCATGGTGCGGCAAATTCGTTTTCTTTTGCTCTGGAGACTAGGGCCCAGCCAACGGGATCCAGTTCCAGAAATGGGTTTCCCTCCAAGGTTAGGAAGACGCTCTGGAAGGGATCAGCTGCTCAAGAGTAGCACAGTCTCCTGCGTTAGAGGTTTTGAGCAGAGGCCAGACGCCCACTTCTGAGTCGCGGATTTCCCTCATTAGCAGGAAGGTGGGCTCCTTGAGGTCCCTCCCTCGGCAGCGAAACCGAGTCGGAGCTGCGGCTGCCTCCGCG